TTCGATTGAGAAATAGCCGTCATTATTTCCAAAGTCAATAGTGTATTTGATCTGCCCATTTAAGTCAGCATCTGGATCTTCTGCTTCAACCTATGAGTTAAATCATACAAATCATAATTTTAAAAGCTCTTTTGAAAACATCAAATAAAAATAACAGCAAAAAGTTGTCAACATAAATAAAATTACAACAGACAAAACCACAATGTCATAACTATAATAATGAAATGATGAAGCAGGGGTAGGATTTTATGCAAAACTGAGCCCAGCACATACTTGTTAGACTAATGAATGAATGTTTTGTAACAAAATGAGGCGTTAAGTTCATTAAGCTGTATAAATCAGGGTTTGGGTAATTAGAGAAGTGTGTCATCAGCATAGCAGTGGAGGGCAGCTGTACCTCTAACTAATGTGTTGCAAATGGAAAGAAGAAAAGGGCCTGAAATTGAACTTCCATAGATAATTTCTGCGGCAAACGGTAACAACAAACAAGGAGGGTTTTATTAAAATAATATAAGATGAACCCAAAGTGTCATGCCAAAGGTGACATGCTTAAAATGTAAATATATATATTTTATATAAAATTGAACAGAACTGCTTAAACCACTCACCTGGACCAGCAACATTTCCAGTGTCTGATTTGCAAACACCTTTCCTTCGTAGCTTTCACTGGTGAATTCAGGACTGTTGTCATTCTCATCCAGAAGAGTTACACTGACTTGCACAGCTGCTTTATTGTTGGGTGGACTTGTCTCCCTTGCTTCAATCTTTTAATTAACAAAAGAACAGAATATCGGTTAAGCTTGTCCCACATACACTGAAAAGCTTGGGGCATATGTTTAATTTGTAATCTAGATTACCTGAAATGTGAGGCTTTGAGTCATCTCCCTGTCCAGAGCGGTAGAGTTCTTCACTCTGATCGTCCCGTCAGGTCTGATAGAGAAAGGAGCAGATTCTGGAAGGATCTGCAAAGTTCCCACAAATCCTCCCTGGGAAAAAGAGAATGATGGAAGAAATTACTTACTAATAAATACTTAACTTCCGAGTGTAGTTTTAAGTGACATCTACCTGGTCTCGGTCGGTGACAATGGCTTTGAACACAACAGCATCATCAGGAGAATTTTCCAGAAGTGTTACAGAGTATTCGGGCTGGTCAAACTCTGGAGCATTATCATTTACATCCTCAACAGTGACAGACACCACAGCAACAGCCGTCTTCAAACTGTCATCTGTCTGGGCCGCCTGACAAGAGAAAACATGAATCACTTGTTAAGCATCATCTTTTTTGTGTTGTATACCGAACTGTGTGCACTCGTTCTGCAAAAATCCAGCAATGTGTTGATGTGCTGTGTGACTGCATTTTATTACACTGCATCAAGTATGTCTGATCCTTAACATCTGGAAACAAATAAAAATGGAAAACCTGGAAATTTAGACTAGTTTTCCAGTCATGGAAACACCTGGAAATTGATTAAAATGACCAAATACCCTGGAATAATCTATGTTGTCCAGGAACATTTTTATTGTATTTTAGACCTTTTACTCAGATAACTTACTGTATGTAACCCTAGATGCGTATTTAGTTTGAAACTCAACTGTTAGCTGTGCAGTATTACACCTAAAAGCTTACTAAATGAACATCATGCTGTATTGAAGAAGACTTGAAACTAGAAATTGAGAACATAAAACTCGGAAACTGTTTACTGAGCTCATAAATCAAGCCATTTTCAAATTAGGTTGCATACTAACTCAGTTCTCTTTGGAACCAATGGAGCTGCCCCCTGCTGGCCATTAGACAAATACTTCTGCCTCACTTCTCAGACCTGGAAGCTTGGTCCACAAGTTATATACTGTGATCGTATATTCAAATGCCAGTACCTTGATGTTTATAGAGATCACACTGTTGTTCATGTCCTCTCTGTCTATGGCAGTCGCCACAGTCAGAACTCCACTGCTGGAGTCGATGTTGAAGTTTGTCCGGTACTTTTCTGGAGACACTAAACAAAGACAATGTTCAAAATTATATATATTATATATTTAAGTGTTTTGTATTAAATGTCTGATGTGAATTTGAAGCTGTAATTTCTTGTTGTTTACCTGCACTGATGCTGTAAATTAAAGTCATGTTAATCCCACTGTCTCCGTCCTGAGCCTTTATTGCCTCAGGCTTGATGGCCCGGAAAGACCCAACCTGAAATATATAATACACAATATTGATATTAGCCAAAAAAAGACAATAAGATATAGCTTTATAAGACCCAGCAATTCATATCTGTGGGCAGGGGCGGAGCCAGATGTTTGATGCACATTTGGGGCTTAGCTCAAACACCCCGGGAGTTTTCTTTCCATTTACAGCAGCTATACACTCTACTCAAGTCATCTGAATGTTTGATCATTTAGGGTACATTTTCTAATTGGTCTCCAACTGTTTTCATTATTCTGAAACCATAACACAAGAAATCTTGAGGATAACACATTTAAAAGTGCTACCTAAAAGCAAAAACCTCATGAAACATGACACACACACAAGACAACAACCCCCCTTCAATCAACCAGAAAGCTTAGAAACACACACTTTTGACTGTGTTTAATAGATGCTTTATAAAGTGTTGGTTGGGAGGACATTACCTGTGAGAGAAATGATGTAGTGATTAAGTTTAAAAGTCTCACCTCATTCTCTGGAATAAAGGCCTGGTATACGCTGTGGCTGAAATAGGGATTCAGGTTGTCATAGTCCACTATGTTAATCACCACAGTGGCCGTGTCATTTAATCCGTGGTTGTCCTGTAGTGAACAAAACACAGACAATTTATTCATGTCCATCACCAGTTAATTATGTTTTTATGTCTCAAAATAATTCTGTATTTAGTATATGGTGTATGTCAGTATTTTCACCTACCCTGGCCATCACAATGAAGTTGAAGTTTTTGACTACATTGTAGTTGAGTCGTCTCTTCAAAATAAAAGCCCCTGAGTTGGTCAGCATAAAGTACTCTGAAGCTGGCGTCTTTGGGAAGAAAGTTACCGTCACATTTCTATACAGAATATTGTTACTCATCATAAAACATGTGGAAGCCCAGAGATCATCTTAATCT